GGGCTCTGGGGTGGGGCCAGAAATGAGGAGTTCAGGGTGCGGGAGGGGGCTCTGGGCTGGGCCAGCGGGTTCGGGTGCGGGGGGGGGGAGGGGAGGGCTCTGGGGTGGGGCTGGAGATGAGGGGTTGGGGTGCAGGAGGGTGCTCCGGGCTGGGATCGAGGGGTTCAGAGGTGGGAGGGGGATCAGGGTTGGGGCAGGGAGTTGAGGTGCAGGACGGGGTCAGGGGTGCAGGCTCCAGGCAGCACTAACCTCAAGCAGCTCCCAGAAACAGCGGCATGTCCCGCCCTCTGCCTCATACGCAGAGGCACAGCCAGGCGCAGCTCTGCTCGCTGCTCTGTCCACAGGCGCCACCCCTGCAGCTCCCATTGGTCGCAGTTCCTGGTCAATGGGAGCTGCGGGGGTGGTACTTGGGGCGGGGGCAGCGCACGGAGCCCCTTGGCTGCTTCTACACGTAGGAGCTAGAGGGGGGACATGCCGCTACTTCTGGGAGCTGTGCGGAGCAGGGCAAGCCCCCAACCCCATTCCCCGTCTGGAGCGCCGGAGCAGGGCAAGCCCTAGACCCACCCCCGGCGGGAGCTTGAGGGCTGGATTAAAACTTGATTGTAACTTCCCATCAGTGCATCCAATCCTACTTCATTATAAAGTGACTTTATAAAAGTAACTCTACAGAGCTTGGATTTCTAATAACAAGGCATCAAATACAGAGTTGAAGGGCACTTTCACGTCCATTTGTTTTTGCTAATTCATGCACATGTTTATGGACATATGCTTCCAATCAGACAACAGAATTCTACTTCTACACAGATTCCTTCTTCCAGAAGTGCACATAGTCATGTGTAGAACTGCTACTATCTAAATACAGTTGTATGTTAATGCTGCTTTCGAAGTACATTATAAATGTGTACCCGTCGGGAGGATGCTGATGGAGATTTTATTACAAGAAAAGTCATTTTCAAGGTTTATGAAGGCCGTTATGTCTTGATAGAATACTGACAAGTTAAATTATTTTGAAAAAAAAAAAAACTTACCTATGTTAGTACTCCAAGCTGTAGATAGTAAATGAAAATTTGTTAATTTAATCTTTTGTTTGTTTTTTGCATTCTCAGCTTAGACAATTAAACTATGCTAGTTAGCTACATTTTAGGACCAGTCAGTTTCATTTTTCACCTTTTTTTTTTTTTCACTAACCCAGTTTGCAAATGCAGAAGATATTTTTTGTTAAAAATAAAAATACTGTTTCTATTACAATTTACGGGGGGAGAATCATTCACATATGAAGCTTTTTAGACATAAAATAGTCATGTGTACAGTAACCTGTTTGCAATGGCTATTTCAAATGCTTACTAATCATAGAATCATAGGACTGGAAGGGACCTCGATAGGTCATCTAGTCCAGTCCCCCGCACTCATGACAGAACTAAGTATTATCTAGACTATCCCTGACAGGTGTTTGTCTAACCTCTTCTTAAAAATCTCCAATGATGGAGATTCCACAACCTCCCTAGGCAATTTATTCCGGTGCTTAACCACCCTGACAGTTCGGAAGTTTTTCCTAATGTCCAACCTAAACCTCCCTTGTTGCAATGTTATCATGTCCCCTCTCAGTCTTCTCTTTTCCAGATTAAACAAGTCCAATTTTTTCATTCTTCAATCTAGGTCATGTTTTCTAGACCTTTCATCATTTTTGTTGCTCTTCTCTGGACTTTCTCCAATTTGTCCACATCTTTCCTGAAATGTGGCATCCAGAACTGGACACAATACTCCAGTTGAGGCCTAATCAGCGCAGAGTAGAGTGGAAGAATTACTTCTCGTGTCTTGCTTACAACAATCCTGCTACTACATCCCAGAATGATGTTCACTTTTTTTTTTACTTTTTGTGCAACAGCGTTACACTGTCGACTCTCATTTAGCTTGTGGCCCACTATGACTCCCAGATTCCTTTCCACAGTACTCCTTCCTAGGCAGTCATTTCCCGTTTTGTATGTGTGCAACTGATTGTTCCTTCCTAAGTGGAGTACTTTGCATTTGTCCTTATTGAATTTCATCCTATTTACTTCAACCCATTTCTCCTGTTTGTGCAGATCATTTTGAATTATAATCCTATCCTCCAAAGCACTTGCAACCTCTCCCAGCTTGGTATCATCCGCAAACTTTATAAATGTACCCTCTATATCATTATCTAAATCATTGATGAAGATATTGAACATAACCAGTCCCAGAACTGATCCCTGCTGGACCCCACTCGCTATGCCCTCCAGGATGACTGTGAACCACTGATAACTACTCTCTGGGAATGGTTTTCCAACCAGTTATGCACCCATCTTATAGTAGCTCCATCTAGGTTGCGTTTCCCTAGTTTGTTTATGAGAAGGTCATGAGAGAGAGACAGTATCAAAAGCTTTACTAAACTCAAGATATACCATGTCTACCGCTTCCCCGCCATCCACAAGGCTTGTTACCCTGTCAAAGAAAGCTATCAGGTTGGTTTGACATGATTTGTTCTTGACAAATCCATGCTGACTGTTACTTATCATCTTATTATTTTCTAGATGTTTGCAAATTTATTACTTAATTATTTGCTCCATTATCTTTCCGGGTACAGAAATTAAGCTGACTGGTCTGTAATTCCCCGAGTTGTCCTTATTTCCCTTTTTATAGATTGGCACTACATTTGCCCTTTTCCAGTCTTCTGGAATCTCTCCCATCTTCCATGACTTTTCAAAGATAATGTTAATGGTTTAGATATCTTCTCAGTCAGCTCCTTGAGCATTCTAGGATGCATTTCATCAGGCCCTGGTGACTTGAAGACCTCTAACTTGTTGAAGTAATTTTTAACTTGTTCTTTCCCTATTTTATTATAGCGACAATAAATCCTTGTAGGCAAGGTTTACTGAACTGAAGAGCTTGTTTTAGGGCCATCTGGTGAAAATGAAAATTGGTGTCATAACTGTTTTAATAGTCTTGCAATATGATGTGATATAATAATACTCTGTCCTCCTGCATTGCCTTGACCTAGAACCTCAAAGCACTTAACAAACACTCATGAATCCTTGCCATACCCTTGTATGGGGGGGGGAAATCATTATCATTGCAATTGTACAGTTGTGGAAACTGAAGCACAGAGAAGTGAGTTTTGTCACTCAAAGTCAGCTGGGATTGGTGGCAGAGCAGAGAATATAATCTTTTGTTCCCGTCCACAGCTCCAACCACTGCACAGTGCTGTTTTCTATATAGGTCCATATTAGGGAGAGGAAGGGTGTGGGTGGACATTTAATATTATAACCAAACGAGTCCTAAGTTTTGCTTGGCCAATTAGGAGTTCAGGATGGGCTTTGGAATATCTGCCTGGACCTGATTCTGCTCCTGTGAAAGTCTGGGGAGCTGTGCTACTACGGCTAATCAGGAGCCGGATTTGAGAGAGGGAGCATCTCCTTGCCCTCTCTAGCACTATATCAAGTGATGATTCTTTGCTGCCGTGATACGTTCGTGGTATCTTGACCACAGTCTGAGATGTTGTGAGGAAGTTCTAGAAACACTACAAGTGGGTGGGAAATGTCCTTAAAAACATACAGAGCAAACTGCTTAACCAGGTACTCAGGCGGCTGCTGTCTCTCTGTCCATGGTCATGTACTTTGCCGAAGTCATCTCCCGAACAGCCTTTTCTTGACAGATGGGCCCATTCCCCTCTTTCATTTCATTAGATTTCTTCATTATTCTGTGTTTTAATGTATTTTGCTGTCCCAGAGCATTATAGTGACAAATAAAGAAATGTCTGTTTCTCATGTAGGGATGTGGGGTTGCCCTAAAAACTATTTAATTTTCTGAGCTCATGGAAGGTACCAAATTGTTGGCCCTGGAGGCTGAAGTTCTTTCAGTAGCTATTGATCACGTACAGCATGGGGAACAGCAGTGCTAACTTGTCCCACTACCACTCTGCCCCGTCTTTTACCTTGAGGGATCCAACTCTCGGGGTGAGCAATTAATTTGGTCTTTGTTGCCCGTACAGTCAACTGGCCTCTTTGTGGAGACTGTCAAATAGTGCCAATAGTGATGGTGTCCTTTGTCTACAGGGAAGTAGACTGAGATGCCCAAACTCACTTGACATGGTCACCACGGAACCATTAGATGGAAACCACTTTCATTTGCTGAATCCTAAAACCTGCAAAAAAATGTGCAAATCTTTCCAGTTGCCTGACAGTTAGATTTCCATTTCTCTAGCAGCTTGTTCTGGCAAATGGTCTTAATTTCCTTCTTTCTTTCTTCTTTTTTTTAAGTAGCATTGAAATTGTCCACATGGCTGTAAGAACCAAATACCAAGCAGAGTGTTTTGTTGTCTGATTTCCACGTGTAGCTGGGTTTCTCCTTAACTTAGTTCCACCTACTAGCTTTTCTACCCCGAAGAAGAAGAAGCGGGATGATGGCATGCGGGAACATGTTACAGGTTGTGCACGAAGTGAAGGCTATTACAAAATAGATAAGAAAGACAAACTTAAATACCTCAACAATAGTCGTGCATTTGCAGAGGAGCCGCCAGCTGATACACAAGTAAGGAGACTCTCATTGCTGACTGTTTCCTTGTGTTAGCTGGATTTGTCTTGAAATGTGGTGTTAGTAACTCTCCTCTCTGAGATCGAATTAAGCCAGTGCCCCAGTATGGCTTTCCCTGTGGGAAGTATTGCCTTTCAGATGAGAAATAAAACCGAGATCTTATTGATTCAAGGTCATCAAAGGTCCCTGGCTATTTTCTGTAAGAGTGGGGGTGTCTTCCCCCAGTGTCCTGGCCAGATTCCAATAGGGGGAAATGCATTCTGCCTACTTAAATGTCCCTGTTGGTAGAGCTATATATGGTGTCCTTCACCTCCTCTCCTAAACTGTTCTGCGTAGTCACTGGTGTTTTCTCAATGGCTGCTGCATTGCACCCCATTGCAGGGGCATTTCCACGGTGGCAGAAGTGAAGCGATACTTATATACATGTATAGTTTGTCATTCTGGAAGTCCTTTGGGGGGATTGAGGAACCTGTTTTTCAATATAGATCTAAAATACTTTATTGGGGCTGCGTATACCAAGGTATCATGTTGCAGAGCAAGGAGGTGTGATAGAGTGATTAGAGGAATGGAAAGATTTGTACATGAAGAGAGACTGAAGACTCATAGACTCTAAGGTCAGAAAGGGACCATCATGATTATCTAATTTGACCTTCTGCACATTGCAGGGCACAGAACCTTTCCCACCCTCTCCTGTAATAGACCCGTTACCTCAGAAACTGCGACTGTTTAGTTAGAGAGGGGAGGTGATAGAGGTAATCAAATTAATCAGTGACATAGAGAAGGCAAATCAAGTGCTCCTATTTACCTTTTCTCATGATGAAAGAACAAGGGGGCATTTCGTGAAATTGAAAGTTATTGAATCTAAAACTGATCAAATGAAATATTCTTTTACACAAAGCATAACTAACCTACTGAAGTAATTTCCAGAAGGTGTCAGTAAGGCCAAGAGTTTAGTGTAGTGTATTCAAGACAGGATTAGACTTTCTATGGATATGAGAAACTCCACAATTATATTAGATAGGATAAAAAAAAATCTCGTTAGAAGGGATATAAGACCTCGTGCTGCAAGGGAACAGCCAACCACTGACTGACTAGGATTAGGAAGAAACTTACCTCTAAGAGCAACTTACTCAGTATGTGTCCACTATGAAGATTTTGCACCTTCCTCCAAAGCATCTGGTAGTGGCCACTGTCAGAGACCAGATACTGGGCTACGTAGACCACTGGCAACTGACCAGTTGATCAAGTCTTACAATTTCTGTGTTCTGTGGCAGAGTTGGAAGTAGAACCCAGGAGTCCAGACGCTCTTAACCTGCCTTACCTAGTAGACCATGCTGCAAATATACTGTAGGGAGGAGTTTTTCACTAGCCAGGGCAGACTGTGTTAACTAATCCAATAGTTTCTACTCTGAGTCTGTGCTGAGATCTGTACTGCCTGTGTGAGGATGTGCATCAAACTCACTGGCTCAGCTTTCATCTCTCACTTGTCGCTAAGAGATGTACAAATGGGTTGCCCCAGATCTTTTTAAATTGCAACTCCTAAACTGTTCTTCCTCTTTTGCAGGGAATGAGCATCCCTGCCCAACCTCATGCTTCCACCCGGGCTGGCTCTGAGAGGAGGTCAGAGCAACGCAGGCTTCTCTCATCCTTCACTGGTAGCTGTGACAGCGACCTACTCAAATTTAACCAACTGAAGGTACGTCACGCAACCAGATTTTTATTCTGTGAATTGGAGAGCACAGGTCGGGTGCTGGTTAGGAATAAGCTAAGGCAAGGCCAGCTAAAAGCCACAGATCCATGGCAAAACATGTGGTTTATAAATCTAGCTATGATGCCATATATTTCCTTATCACATTAAACTGTGTAGTACTCCATAGCAGTATGTCTGGGAGAAAGAGCTACTTAGTACAATATGTCCAGTGGCTTCAACTGCATGAACAAGGGGGTTGATAATGGGACAAAGAGAATCCTCTGTAAATTGTGGGGTCCAAACTAGTTCAGGTCAGTAGTAACCAGAAGTAGTTACCATCTGATGGCTGTGTAGCCTGTGTGAAATTAGATGGTGATCTCTGTCCAGTTCCTAGTGGACAGGTATTCACATCACAAAAACCTCCTCCACATTTGGGCACCCTTGTTCATTGTCTCAGTGAAGGTTTGGGAGGGATTTCCACACTGAACTGTCTTCTCACCCCTTAGTAGCACTGTCTCTTCAGAACAGCAGGTAGTTTGAGGTACTTTGGCCTGGGGTATTGACTTTCTACAATCGCTAGATCTCTTTGATCTAATGTTCAAATACCTAAATGGAATGGAAAGGAGCAAATCAAAGGGAAACCCATGGGGCAGAGGTCAGTGTATATACCCTGTGGGATTTAACACATGATAGACAGAGACAATAAAACAGGAACCAGACAATCAATGAACAAATGGAGCTGAGCCCCAGACCAAAAGTGTGTGCTTACTACAACCCATTAGACACTAGTGCAAAGGAGATATAGCCCAAAAGGGCCTGTTCTACCAACTTGCACAAGAACACTCTGAAGCGAGGCAGGACTGGGAGTAGAACCCAAGAATCAAGACGACGTCTTCCCTTCTCTAACCACTAGACTACACTCCTTTTCACAGCTAACGTGGAGGTAATTAATAGTCTGATTTAACTATAGAGTCAGGTGCCACATGCTGAAATGTCCCACTTGTGGCATGGAACACACTGCAAAGGCTCTTTCGTATGTGCTGTGTACTGTGCGGATTGCTGTTTCATTTTTTGCTCATGATGGTTCGGGGTTGTTTTGTACACAGTTCCGGAAGAAAAAGCTAAAATTCTGCAAGAGTCACATTCATGACTGGGGCCTTTTTGCTATGGAGCCCATTGCAGCTGATGAGATGGTGATTGAATATGTGGGTCAGAACATCAGACAGGTAAGCTGTATTCCCCATGGGTGACCACAGGGCCTTTGCCATGACTCAGTCAGAGTGGAAGACCTCTACTTCATGAAGTGTGGAAGATCACATGTACCTGTCCTCAGTAGCATCGCTCTTCATACCTACCTGGTTTTATTCATCTTCTCCATCCCGCTTGTAAATTCACAAACACTAAAGATTCCTTGAGGCTTTCAATACCACACAATGCATAAATCTTGAGTGTTTCTTCTGGGTTTTTTGTGCATGGGTCGGTTCTCTTGCTCTGTTTCCTCCTGCCTGTTCTCTGGAAACCATTTCAGAGAGTAACATATGCAAGATGAAGTCATTGTGCAGAATCCTATTGATGATATTATGTCACATCTGTGTGGAAATGAGGGTAAGATAAAAAGCAACAGAGGGTCCTGTGGCACCTTTGAGACTAACAGAAGTATTGGGAGCATAAGCTTTCGTGGGTAAGAACCTCACTTTTTCAGATGCAAGAAGTGAGGTTCTTACCC